GATCCACAGCCTGAATCAAGTTTACGTCAGAGATGGCGTAAGTTGGCATATGACAAACGAACCTTCTTTCTCCCAACTGAAAATTCGTCAGCGATCAACCCACTGACACTGACTGATGCAAATTCCCAAATAAGTGAAGTGGTCAACATGCTCCGCCATCCACTTCACTCTCTATCTTTAAGCTAGGAATGATTCGATGTGGTCCAGCCAGTCCTGTAGCATCATCTTGCATTTGACGGGAACCAGTCACATGCCAAAAATTCGAAGATTGCTGTTCAAGGTATTCAGAAGACTCCATTATGTCAGTGTCTTCACCAAGGAGGACTATACCATCTGCATATTCTACGTCAACGAGATTTTTCCCTGATGGTAACGAGTCAATACCTGAGTCGCTGAAGTCACTTAGGGTTAAGTCCATTAGTACATCTATGATGAAATTAAACAGACTAAAACCTAATAAACTAAAAGAATGAAAAGTGAGAGGAGAACAATAAACTCTGGTTAACTGCCATATTTTTTAAAAATTTAAAAGTATCTTAAGCATCATGCACTTACAATATGCAAGGAGGAAGATGTGAAATCCTTTAGGGAAACAGTAAAGTAAGGCCAACCGAAATGTACAGGAAGTTGTCATAACAATTACTAAGGAAGTTTGGAAGTATCTGAAAGCTATTTTTTCTTAATATGCTGTAGCATTTCTATGAATAATTTTGTTTAAACTAACTTAAGTCTTGATTTCTTTATCTGAGGCAAAAACTACTGTCACTAGACAAAGTACTCTTTTCCCGTATCTTATACTTCAAAGCTGTTTCCTGAAACAGATGGGTGGGGGGTCATGAGCAGTTACCCAGTTGTCTCTTAAGAAATCCAAAAATATTCCAACGAACTGTTATAAACTGTCGGTGGCAGTTAAACACTTAACCAGTTGTAGCTAAAAAGGCCATCTACACCATTTAGCATTTAACAGACAATCATATTACTGAACTATTTGATGAAATGGATTCTGAGTTGTGACAAGAAGACTAAAAGTCGAGCACCTCTACCAGTAAATGATACTACAAAGTATAAAATCTGTTCAATGAGTATTTTCATTTTTTCGTAAATAGCACTCACTGAAAATCATAGACGAGTTTGCAGAATAATCCCTCAGGAACATCACGATAACCTATCCCCTATACTAGAATTTATGCAATAATCCAAGGGACCGAAGAAAAATCTTATAAGATTCATCAAAAACAATTGAAAGTTAAGTATCACCATTAAGATTTACTTTCACACTATATATGTGGTGAGAGCTGTCGGCTAGCCAAAATTGCTGGACAGCAATTTACGTCAATGTTTACGTCCCGAATCTCGGTCATGAGAAAAAAACAAGAACAAAGACTAACTCAACAACAAATAGCAGCAGACTTTGCGTGGGTGGATACGATTCGCAGATATATGATATGACCTTCAAAGAAACGGCCACAAAGAGATGACAGAGTAACTTTCAGAGAGAGAACAACCAATCAGAAGACGCTGTTTCTCTACTAATAATAACGAATAGTAATGTACATAAAAATCTATAAATATCTGTTGATTTTCCCAATAAACGATCTGTTGCCTGGCCCTTATCTTCTGTCGTTACATATATACTAAAGTAGCTAAATGCGCTTACATCAAGTACTGTGTGGAATGATTAGCTGGTCAGAAACTATAGAAGCATTCTTACATTGTATTAATGAGTGCTGTTGAAGTTACGTGTAGGTTTCGATCCACGAAAAGCAAGTCAATCTACGAAATCATGAAGATGCATTGTGACATACATGCTAACCACTTCTAAGAATGCAGATTATCAACTGAAATATAGTCAGTTTAGAAAAGAGCCATGACATAATATCGATCTGTAGTGTCTGACTAATGATTTGAGCTGAAGAAGAAAGTTTGTTAAGTATTGGTGGATGGTTTATGATAGGCCGAAGTAGCATAAGTAAGTTCACTCTCCTCCATCAGAACATTTCACAAACGTTATTATTTCTTTTTCTTAAATTTTACTACCGTTTTATTTCCGTTAAACTCCTTTCACTATGGTGCAGAAAAGAGTAGTGGACTGAATCTCTGCACTCTGGTATAAGCTCTATTTCTCTATTTAGATGTTATTACACATTTATTCACTTTTGTTTATAGAGTTGTGATTCATTGGCTTAAAGACGTTACTGTCCGCTATCGGTTTCTGGGTTCGAATCCCACTCCCATGTACATCACCCGTAGTAACTAACAAGTATCATTAGCTCTCGCACAATAACTGTGGATCATAATCTGGTATACACAAAATATGTCTCAGATAAGTGAGTGTTAACTACTAACTATTCTTGCCTATTGTCATACTTTACATGAAGAGGTAATACTTTCTACATGAAAATCAATTAGCCTCATCACTGGATAAACATTAGTGTTAGAAACTATAATGAATCATGAAACTTAGTCGAAGTGTATAGATTTACACAAGCGATCATACCTATACAAATAGGATGAACTTTAAAAGTGGAAAAAAACAATGAAATGTGAAAGAGACTTTCGCGTTGAGCTAAGTCAACAACAGCGTCATTCTAATTTATTCAACCTTATATTGTGGTGAGAGATGTCTGCTAGCCAAAATTGATCGACAGCAATTTACGTCAATGTTTACGTCCCGAATCTCGGTCATGAGAAAAAAACAAGAACAAACAGTAACTCAACAACCAATAGCAGCAGACTTTGCGTGGGCGGATACGACTCGCAGATATGGGCAACAGTAAAGAATAGACACCAAAGTCAAATGACCTTGAAACAACCAATCAGATTCTTTCAGTTAAAAAGTGGCATAAAATTAATTTTAAAAAAACTATATTTACAACATATATATGTAATAAAAATGAACTATACAGGATAAATGTCTCTAATGTGCTGCAAAAACTGGTCCCAGTTTCTCATAGGAGTGGTTGTAGACATATTAAACCAATGCCGATACAAAAACTCATCTAAATGGCTATATACCATATCACTTCGGGAACCATTTACCATTCTGATACGTTTTTTGAGGTGAGCCCAAAATCCTTCAATGGAATTTGTATGTGTTCCTGTTACAGGATCCACCAGTTCAGAAGAATGGTTGACTTTGTGGTGAATATAGCCTAGTGATGACAATTGAGAATAACCTCTCCACTCGTCTGTGTGAATAGTAGTTCCTGGGAGGACTAGTCGTTGTATAATTGGTATTAACACATCAGCACTTCTGTTCGGGATGCGTTCCACAAAGCCTTTACGAAGATTTGTGTCGTAAAGTCCCAGCACCCAAACATGATTTGCTCTACTCCTCCCTCGATTCATTTTTCGCTTAATAAGTACAGTTTCGTCAATATGCACGACGACGCCAACTCCCCCGAGTACAGAGGTGATCCCATTCATCTTTTGTGAGGCAACATCACGGCAGTACTGATACCACTGCACTGTTGAAATCTTTGTATTCTCCGTTTCTGCAGCTGTAGCAGATACTGGTCGCTTTAGTAGCCAGTTGTGGCATATACGCAGTATTTTACTAAGCGACAATTTCGATTTGGAGAAGAAAGTATCTAAAAAATTACCATAATGTACGACTTACCAACTCGCACAGATTTCCTCATATAACAGTGGTTGCATCTAAATGCGTAGCCATCAATAGCCCGCCAATACTTTTGTAGAGTCACTATCCCTCCACATATGCAGGTTTTAGACCTCCCTATCAACTCATTTTCCACACAGAAGTCAAAAACTAAATCCGGGTGAAACTTGTAACGAAGTTCATGAACCGCATCCATTTTGAATGATGAGCGATCTGATTGGTTGTTTTTTTAAGGTCATTTTACTTTGGTGTCTATTATTTACTCTTGCCGCAGAAATATGGCATGACCTTCAAAAAACGGCCACAAAGAGATGGCAGAGTAACTTTCAGCGAGAAAACAACCAGTCAGAAGACTCTGTTTCTCTGTTAATAATTACTAATAATAGTGTATATAAAAGTCTATAAATATCTGTTGATTTTCCTAATAAACGATCTGTTGTCTGGCTCTTGTCTTATCTCGTTACAATATTTCACTGTAATCTATCAAGCAACTTGGGAGAGTAATTCACACAACCATTTTACTTTAAACATTGTCTAAAGATTAATGGTAAATCCACCTCCCGTCAGGTAAACTTGCCTCCATCTTAATGATTAATTTCGTTGGATTACAGCGTGATAACTAAAAGTCCTTGACTTCGAACAACGAGAAATATTTCGTAAGGATTTAAATGACTATGATTTTCACAAAGCCGTTTAATTTTCCTGTTTCACCACGGATTGATATTAGTCAGAGAACCATTGAAAACCAGCACCGGAGTACTGGACAGCTGTCTCGTTCTAGTTTGGGATTCATCGACAGTACGTACCCAGCAGGTTTCGAACTCAGGACCTTCCAGGTACAAACAAGACTAGCTCGTAGATAAATCACACACTCGGAACCAAGTCAATGGCGTGATTTTACGGTGACCACCAGCCAATGTCATCGGCGAGCGTTTGTCTTCACTCCCGACAGGATGGACCCCACTGATCACGACTTCTCACAAGAACTCCAGGAAACTCCGTCCTGTAGCTGTTCACTAGCAAGCACCAGAAAAACAAATCAGATCCCTACAAATCAACTCTTGAAAAAAATAAAATTCCCCTGCGTTTTACTTCAACTGCGCATAAATTGAATACAAACTAAAAAATCATGGTGAAAAAAAAATTAACTGAATGGATGAATGATGCTGTTTAGATTCGTTCAATAACATGAATATCCAAAGTGTACTACAAGGGTACTTCATTCGAACTCTAATCAAATTGTAAAACGTTTTTAAAAAAAGAAAGAAAGCAAGGAAGTAAAGAACAGAGAACAAAAAAAACGTTACAGCCCAGTATCAGAATATGTGAATATACATTACAACAAAAGTAAGCATTCTACATGCATCACTCACTCACTCACCTATACGCTTCACTATTCATAGCTTTGTTAATCAGATCACTCGTTAAAGATACCAAACGAATACTTTCATTATGAATCTAGAGAAATTAAAAAATATATATTATCGTTATAGTTCCATACTTTACTGAGCTCTTTAAAATGTGAATATGAATAAATGAAGACGAACATTGAGTTAACTTAAACGATACACACTATTTAGTGTAGAGAAACACAACACCCATGAAGACGGATTAAATGTTTATTTTTAGACAAATTGAAATGAGCATTAAAAAACAACGAGACTTTGTGTTTACATGGTTTTATGCAAATAATATTTGCACTACATTATCAAGATGAGTTTCCTTTAGGCTTTATATTGCCTTTTTTTGCTTGTTCCCAATAGTTCAGCCTATTTCTTGTTTGATTTACAACGACTTAAGTATGAATTCACTCTTTGTTCTGGTGTTTGATGAGTCCACGCTAATGATATAATCTAAAAAGAACTCTACTCAACACTACGAAAAATCACCCCTGGGATTATTATTTATTATTGATGATGATGAAAATATAAAGAAACGAATCACCTCTTGTCAAATAACAGTGTTGCAAAAAATAAATTAGGAATTTAGGCTTCATTGATAAAAGAACTAAATAGTCAATGGTAATATTATCTGTCAAGAGAACAACTTTGAACAACACTACTGAATGTGTTTTATTCTCAATCCCCGCTAGTAAATACACCACCATACTTTATTGGCACTTATTTTCATTCCTTTGCGTTCCTAGTGGAACATAGGGCTTCAAGCTTGAGCTTATAAGTCTCAATAGAAGGCTTACTAACACCTAGGAAAGGTTTACGAGTGCAGGAATAGTCAACAGAGGATTGAATACGTCACTAGACAGAGCCTATCCTGCAGCTAAGTTGGTTCCCGTCTATCGGACAACATGTTTTTTGATGCAGTCAAATGTCGTCAAATATCCTTCTTATGTTAACTCTAACTGTGTATACAAATTTACGTGTATCTGCAGGAGCAGTTACATTGGGAGAACACAAAGAAGGGCACACCTCCGATTTTCTGAACGTGTACCGAAAAGCCTATGTTTCAAGAGAACAAACGCTTACAACAGTGTCATTGCCAGACATCTCATCAATACCTGTATAAGGTGGACATCACGAAATCCTTTGAAATTATTAATAGACAAAAAACTCAATTCTCCTCAAGTCTGCTGAAGGAATCTCTATCAAACACCAGAAACCCGATTTATGTGTTCGGGAAGAAGCAGTTATCCGTCTTTCCCTGACCTGGTAAGTGCATGTCTTTACTTTTCTCTCTCTCTTTCATTTGATTACGTAATCTTTGGCTTTAATCTCAACCCCCCTTTGATATTTGTTGTTTCCATGATTTCAGCTGAACTCGGTACATTGTTATCCAATTTATTACTTACTCATCATCTTACTCACCTCTTGTCTTCATTGCGTAACTCCTTTACCATTGTATGCATACACTGATTTTGTTTAAACTTGAACTCCCTGAGTAAAAACTATATATGTGTAATTTTCTGAGTACTGTTCATTAAGTTTCGAACCTCCGGTCAACTGACATCATGTACAGTTTGCATGTTAAAATTTTTCTGTATATAAGCTTAGTAATTTATTTAGGCTGTATGCAGATGATGAGAAGCCAACGAAATAAATGATGGTACCGTCTTATTCTGCACAAACTGTTTTCCCTGCCGTATTCAAATTCATAAAAGGGAATAAATGTATGAAGTTTAGGAGTGCATCGGCAAGCAGTCGCTTGGTTTCCACTAATCTTATTTAGCATTATGAACAAATTAAAACAATTAGTTCCTTTGATAAATTTGAATAAGGCATTTCGAAGACAAATTTCACTTTTCAACTAACATGGTTCACAATAATAAAATGAAATGCATGTCAATTACTCAGTTATATAAAACAAAAGTACGTACTAATGACCAATCATATTTGAATAGAAGACAAATTCAGCGAAGAAAATTTTCTTTATCGACGAAATCATCTTCAGAGGCTGTACAGTCGTATTTATACTTACAAAAATATATATTGGTCTATTATTGAGTAATAGGGAGTGACATAATTGATATAATTACTCAGAAGTGGCTTTAGAAGTGAGTGCCGTTGAGTACCACGTAATTTACAACTTTTAACTTTCACTTCTAAAGCCACTTCCGAGTAATTATATCAATTATGTCACTCCCTATTACTCAATAATAGACCACTATATATTTTTTGGTAAGTATAAATACGACTGTACAGCCTCTGAAGATGATTTCGTCGATAAAGAAAATTTTCTTCGCTGAATTTGCTTTTATTTTCTTCATGACTCAATGGGCATTTTCGGTGATATTTCAATAGGTCAAGTAGTCCGTGGTAGGTGAAGGTTGAAGTCTGTTGTTTTTTGTGCACATAGTTTAGGATGTGTGTGTCACTACAACTGCAGGTGAACTTGTAAAAACAGTTTGAAGTACAGTCTACAGAATTTCGTCCTTTAATTGTAAGTACAAGGATCAAAAATGTTCGAGATGTGAGGGAAAGAGATGCAGCGTAGAATCTGAGCCTGATGGCTCAAAGACTTCGGTCAACCATTATGCAGAACGGTAATTGAAAGCTTCAAACAAGGATGAAAAAAGTTCCTAGAACAGGTTTGTAAATTCCTTCTATCTTTATTCACATAATAGAAATACACATAATTTAAAACAAATTATACTATAATAATCACAATATAAAAATGTGCACGTCAGTGCATTTTCAACTTACTTGAAATGCTAAAAACATTGTCAACAAACAAAACGCGAAAATGAAGAAGACAAGAATGAATAGGCTGACTACACTGTCCAACCATGAATCCAAATAATGACAAAGCTAAAATTAACAAGAAATCAAAGATTAGTTGTTTTATTTTTTTTTTCTATTCTTGTGGGCACAACAATATAATACTTAAAAATACAAAGAAAAATTGTACAAAATATTGGTTTCAAGCGTGAGTCATATCAGTTGTCAGAATAATGAAATACGATACAAAATTACAGACACCTACATAAATGTAAAGACAGTCTAAAGTGCATAAAAATGATAGATAAGTAATTATCCTTGTTTAGATTATGGAATTTGTGGAGATTTGGATGAATTTAATTTGAATTGTTAGATGTAAGTATCAATCTCCACCTGGCTGGTAATTACCGGATGTATGTCCTGAAAAATAGTAACCAGTGGGGTTCACCATGTCACAGTGAAGTAGATGCTCATTGAAGACACTAGTGAGAGTAGCACAAGATCATGAATTATTGGTCACGGCTGAATGGTCAAAGAGCTTGTTATCGTAACCTGAAGGTCCTGGTTTCGACTCCCGATGGATCGTGGGGTACGCACTGTTGAAGAGTCCCGAAGTGATTGTCCAGTGTTCTCTGGTTTTCAATTATCGCGCTGACTGATACTGGTTTGCAACGAAATCTAACAATTGAAATTAAATTAAACCTTGTGCCTAAGTCGTGCACGTTGCTGGAGTCTTTTGGATACAAAAGACCAGTGGAGGAAAATTCTTGTCAAATGTTCAAAATTATTCACATTGGTGCCATATTTCAGATGATAACTGCTAAAAAAGATAAACTTAAGGAATCTTTCAACTCGACTGACTAAGACAATTGATTTAGGACAACAACTGAGCAATAGTCAAAGATGAATGTAGTTAATTTCACCTGAAAATATTCAGAGGAAACTAGACGCTTAAAAATATTTGTAATTCACTTGACCGTGTAATCATGACTATATCGTTTACTAAATTAATTCTATGCATTAACATTACGAAGTTAAACTTCATGATGGAAGCTTAAGTTGATTGGCGCCACAGTTTGTTTAACCACGCTGCCAGATACAAACCCCAAAAGATTGACTAACTTATCAACGTGGAACTTTGCACAAAAGTACAATTCAAGTTGCTGCACTTTGAAGAAGCACACAGAAGCGTAGAAATGTAGCGAAACTACAAAGAACGATGATATACATGGTAGGGGATAATAACTAAATAAAGATTAAGTTAAGCAGAGCTCGAATGTCTGGCAAAATGGGTCAATAAGAAAGTCATAACCATGGAAACCTATGTAACTAGTTGTTAAATCTAAAAAGTAAATATGGTATTTCATACCTTTCTATCACAATACGCCAGAAGTGTGAATAATCCATGCACAGGTTTAGGGATAAGTGATTTCAAATAAGATCGTCTTTGCTCCATGCTTAAATTTGGTACAAAGGCTTGCACAATACCACTCAGTTTACAGAAAAGCCAACGTGAAAACTCTTGTATTTGTAAGTATTGTGATAAGCGAAAAATTCCAACACAAATGAGAACAAAACAAACCAAATGTAGTGGCCATTGATACATCCATATGATGACAAGAAAATGAGCCCAACATAGTGCAAGAAAACAACGATTAACAAATGAACCAGCCGAAGGAACAGATGAATTTCTGTCGGTAGCATCAAAAATGCATTCTGGATGATGAATTGTATCAGTTGTTTCAAAGAATCTGTACAATAAACAAAATGTATCAAAATAAATGTTACATCGCTAAATAGTTTGTACAATTTTGCTTTCCAATGAAATTCTCCCCCTATGAACGTTAGATAACCAAATTACTTAATTGGATAACTGATTATTCGGCTAATATTCATACAAAATGTAGCTAAATAGTTCACATGTTCGAACAAATTTGGAAGTTTACCATCAACTGGTCATGTAGGTTTAACCCATCTAAGCATATAATCTTAAATTTGCTAATAAAATACTATAATTAACAAATACTAACTATCTAATATACCTAACTTCGGATGATCGCCTTCGTAGTTCTCACAGGTCATGTAAGACGCCGAAATTCATCGAATAATGCTGCACTAAAGTTGTTGATTATTTTTCCATTTTGTTCCTTTGCGTTTCCATTGGAACATAAGGCTTCAAGCTAGAGCTTCGAAGTTTCAGTAACAGTGGCGTTTCTTCTTACGGGGTGAGGTTGCTAGCCTCACGCCCAACCTTCCTTTTTTGCCGGGGTAACTATCGGCTAAGCCAGGTTTAGGAGTGCGTTGACCGAACACCCCAGGCGAGCATTCTACCGCTGCACTAAAATAAACACTACAGTACAGCATTAGATTTAGCAATTATAAATCGTATGTAATACTTTCAACATCTCTAAATTTAAATGAGGTTCTCAGGAATACACAGTAGCAATGTTTATCAACCCTTGTTGAATCCTACAACCCTACTTTTAAGTTGAATTTAACACAACGTGTGGTAAGGAATACAGATCACACTAATACAGCATATTACAATACTAGAGTACCATTTATAGTTCGTTCTAGTCAAATTTAATTCACAATTATCACACAATATATGCTGATATTTACCTTTGTCTTTCGAAAACTGCACTGGTGGACTTTGCAGATGTCAAACGAAATTGTTCAGACATGAAAGCACGTAACTCACTAACCGGGTCAAACCCATAGTCTGATCCTGTCGGTATTGAAAGCAAAGCTTGTCTGTAAGTAATGAAATATGCAAACCAAAAAAAGAGAATCAAGTACTTTTATTAAGAGGAATATATGAATATGATAAATTATGAAGTTCATCTGTTTCGAAAAAAAATACCAAAAATATGACAAACAATTTGTCTTCTGAACAGGGAAAAAGCGATAAAATCCAGTGAAGAATATGTAGAAGAGAAGATGGTGAATTGTATTTATTTACAGTTGCAATTTTAACCTGGTTGATTTGCTAAATTTACTATACAGCATAACGTTTATTAACTGGATAACATTTTCAGACAAAATTTATTGTTCGATCCTGTCGGTGCTCAAGTTCTGCTTATATAGTGCTTACTTTTTCACTTTATTTTATCTAGATGACTCACTGTCATTTAGATAGCGTTCAAACTCAAAACAACCACATACACAAAGTTACCCCACAGTGTAAAACTAACCCAATTATAACAAGCAGAGAAGACATACAGGTCGACGCAGAACCTTACAGAGGTGCACCACACTGAGTTACCACACTACAAGCATGGCAAATAGGAACAGAATAACACAGAAATGGACAAACAGCACGTCAAGATGAAGAGTAGAAATGCTGCTCACCCACCCAAGCTAATGGGCCCAGAGCGCGAGTCCTGCTCCACTTACTCTAGTCTGGGCAACTGAATAGTATCACCAGCTCTCAATAATTATGGCTCATAGTCTTGTGCATGAAAAAGCTTTTCCCGGTAACTACGTTCTAACCAACTGATTGAGGTGCGAGATGATGACCAAATGACAACTCCTGAAGACGTTTAGAGTTCCAGAGATGATAAAGAATGAATATACATGAGTCAATGTGAACAGTTTCGAACACTTAGCAAGAATTTCCCATCATTGATCTTTTGCATCCAAAAGACTCCAACCAACGCAGTCTGCACCTCCCTACACGACTAAAACCAGAGTTTACCGATTTCAAGAATCAGTATCAAACTTCTTCCAAACACCACCTTCCCCGCCATGCATTAGCCCAATCTTAATTCATGTAACACTACTTGTCATGGAAGACGGTGGCTCGGGACATTCGATGCATATTCTAATCACTAACATCAAAGATTGATGACCACATCAGTTAACTGACTTTCTTTACGTAACATCAGTTTTAATCTTAACCTTACCTACTTTACGATTCATTCTAGTACAACGAAGACAGCTTTTTTAAGTAAGCAATCTCCTCATATCTTTCGGTGGCAACCGTTAAGCAAGAAAACTCAAACTGTTGCGCAATAAATTCACACTTTTCTAAGAACACGAATATCTCACAGGAGCTACAGATGACACAAATTCAGACAACAAAACCGTCTTTCGTATTCAGACTAAGACTTTGTCAATAACCAGTCTATTCTTGTTGGTGCAACTTTCGAAATAAATGAAGCACTAAACGCGTCTAACTAATTCTCTCATTCTTATCCTGAACTACTCACCAGTTACAGACTCTGTATTGTCACACCAGTCGGCAGATCATGTGAAAGTTTTACAGTTTTTTATTTCCTGTAGGTGAAAATCTGCACGAAATGTTCGTGTTGTAATAAAAAGATAAATAAAATCAGCAAATAATTCAAAATATATAATAAAATCCACTTGAAAAAGTAACTAAGCTTCATGAAAAACATCTTCAAATTAGTTTCATCCTTAATTGAATTTTCAATAGTTGATGTACACTTCAGTCCCCGCGACTGCTCAATACAGGTAAAATCTGTTCCCTGTGACTTATGTACATCTAAGCGACTGAGATGGATGAATAAGTTCAAACAAACTACACAAATTATACTACATTTTAAGACTGCTCAACAACTGTTCCGATCGTTGATGTCATAGAAACACAGTTGCTTCTTTCAAGAAGATTACTAACGACGGCATGCAATAGGAATGACCCAACATCTATCCCAAATATATGGAAAATTACATTAAAAACAACAGAGAATACAAAATCATACACAGAAATTTAGGAATTAGCGTGTGTATATACTGATAGGATTATGAGCAATAAATTGTGGTCAGAAATTCATTCGGTTATTAATATTGTATCACTGCGTTATACCCAATAAACTTACATAATATGCAGTCCTTACGGAATAGCTCTGAATAGAACGACATAAAACTATGAGATTCTTCACTAATTACTACAAGTCGAGAAGCATCATTACATCCTCAACTCCATTAGAACAGTACATAAACTAGGGTATTTGGATAACTAATACTAGACAGGGTTTCAGATGAAAAGACGCGATCTAATCCGATGACAATTGCCATCTGCATTTTTTATTATAATATTCTGCTCTGTTCTTAGAAAAACATACTTCGGAAATCGCATGAACATGATAGGAAAGTAGGCAGTTAATTGCAGACTTAATGTCAGGTATTTTAAAAATAGTGGGAATCGTTGAATGACGACGATAAATCAAGATCGATATTCAAGGTAGGAATCTGTTCACTTTTTATCTTTTTGCTGATAATAAATACACCATTACTTTGCCAATCCATATACTTTCCTGACATTTTACTCCCTTCTTCGATTTATTCTTACTTTTAGGTTGGCATTAGATAACTAAAGACATACGTCCAATCTCATTGTACGAGGAAGATAGTTTATACAAAAGCGTAATTACAGTTCATGGGACTATCATGTGCAAATAAGAAGTCATGTACATATCCCCATCTCTGGTTCTATGATAAAATAATAGTGCGATTTAATTCTGCAAACTATCGATTAATGATTGATCATTGAAGTTATTCAGATATATTTCAACCACCTTCACAGTGTATATTGTCGTAATATTCGCAGTGATCGTATGTACAACAATTTACCTTTTTGGGATCACCTTCATTGCCTTCTAAAGTCTAATGAAAACTAATTTTTGTAGAGAATTGAACAAGTTTAATAATACACAAATACTAGCGACAGTAGTACACTGCTATTTAGAACACAAATGAGTTATTATTCCTTTAGTCGAAAGCATAGTAAAAACAGCAAGCAACTGGCCTAACACCTAATTTTCTTGCAGTCATCGGAGGAGATATGTTGTATCTGACATCTTCAAAAAGTGCATATTCTCTACCTTACCATTAATAATTCTTTTCTGATATGTTCATAACCTGGAAAAGTCATCATCTTGCATCATTTGAGACTTTATCTTCCTAATTATCTGACACATATTTTCACTGTTAACGGAGGCAAAATTGCCAAAAGTCTCACCGGTTACTGTCATGTCACGCATTTTTCGTCTTGTGAATAACTTATTTAACAGTACACAAGCAGCTCAAAGGTAGCTTAAAATTTATGCGACTAATTATTCTTCACATAATAAATCACAACTTCTACATCTACTGAATAACCATTACCACTGCTGTGAACTTGTCATTAATAGAATGCCAACAAATGGAATACTTGATAGAGATCACTTTAAACTATACTGACTTTAAATACAAATGCAATTTAGACGTTATCTTAGAACATTTTACAATTTAGTGACAAAAAAAAGATGTGGATGCATTTTCAAGTGAAGGTGATCTTTTCCCCAGGTACCATCACAGTAACTTATCAGCTTACTTCCACTATCAAAATACAATAAGTTGACTACAACACTTCTGTGGTATCATCTAATTTAAATATTAACATATAGTATGATTTTTTAATTATTTTCTTATGTGTTATATCAAATAAACGACATTTCATTCTTACATCAATGAAGAGGGCATCTAAAGTGATATCGAAAGCTCTTTGGACGAGAAACGAAGCTTTGAAGGAGAAACGACTATCAAAAAGTAGTATGACTTCAGAAACCCTTCGTTATATACTCCTTAAAACGTTTTTGCACATATACACATAAACTAACCGCAGAAACTGCGACCATCTTTGTGGACGTCCACGTTGGTCTCGTCGTTCTCCGTATTCTGCTTGACTATGGAATATCTGTTCGGAGCTTTCGGAAAACTGGCTGCGTTCCATATTTGCTGTCGCAAGTGTATCACAGGAAACAGCATTCCTAACATGGTCACCAGATCCTCCATCTACTGCAGTAACTGTGTGACAAGAAGCCCACCGTTCTGAAATGAATCAAAGTTTTTAAAAAAAACTAACATATAAGCAAACAAATAATAAAGCATATATTACTGGTGACTACAAAAAGGCATATCCTTAGGTATTTTCTGGACTATCACTTAGAAGACTGCATTTTGACTATACACCTATTTGTTGTACACGAAAACTTCGTGGCTGTGGTTTTTAATTCTTTTGCTGAACAGCTTTTTGTAGCTTTTAACAATCAGATTAGTATTGGTGTAGTTATGTTCTCCAAGCTAAGTGGTTTAACTGTGAGGCTTTCCATGCCTTTGTAGACGACACCTTCCGTGCATACTTCAGTATGAAACTCAAAGAACCCAAATACCCCAATATCATTCACTTGAGTTACAAACCTTTCCCATCATTTATAAGTCAGACTAGTGTTAACTATTTCAATGCACAAACAATAATTTTGTTATATTTATTCTCAAATTTTGAAGTATTCGCAAAGAATTGTAGGAAACGTACACTATGGTAAATTTAAAACAATTAAGACTTGCTCCAAACAATAAGTTTTCGTATCAGAAAACTCTAAAAAGAGCTATATTTACGGGCCCTAGGATTGTCAGAATAAGCGCTAAAGGAGGTTAAAACGAGGAATGTATTAAGCCTACAAATCTCAACTGCGTACGGTATCTCCAAAGTGGCTTGGGAAACCACTGTGCATAAATGAAGACTAAAATAAGTGGACAAGTATGCTATATCTTCGATTGCTTCACGATAGACAGATAGGCAATCCGGAATCTTTTTTGTAAATTTACCAGTTCAAGGTGCAGTAATTCGAAACGCCAACCAAACAGGAATTAGACTAAAACAGAGTGATAATAAAGTGGCTAAAAATTGATATGACAAGTAAAAACAATTCAGTAGTTGATGAAATTGATTCAGAGCTTGATTATGAAGACTGAATAGTAGAACTCAGTCACTTGAAAAGTTTTCTTCCCAATTAATAGAAATTGGCCACAATTATTGTGTGAGGGTTGATGATACTATCCAACCAACCACAATGAAGTGGGTTTTGGATCAAGTACAATGGTTACAACATTTGATTTTGCATCATGTCTATAACTATTGGACCGTAGCCACATTCAACACTTCTCCATACAACTCAGATCAATACTGACACCATGACCAATTGCTTCGGTCTTTTTCGTCAAGAGGTAATGCCTTGATATGCAAATGAAAACAAACACATTTACAGATTGGTCTTCTCTACTTAACACTGCCCGTAATCACATTTCTTGTTTCAAATGTAAGTAGTTGCAGTTTCCTGGTAACTATAAATAAGGAAATAATCTTGTTTACCCTTTCAAAGGAAGGCTTTGTCAAAAGTTGGGCCAAGCTAAAACAAAAAGCTGCAATATGTAAGGGATATTGCCTCACTTCATCAGTCTTCAACATTCGTAGAACTCTTGAAGATGAAACAGTTGTAAGAAAATACGACGTTGAACCAATAACAATAAATTATTAATTAGGAAAGGCGACATACAAAATATGAGAGGAAATATCATAGTTTGCAACTGAATTTATAGTCAATTTATATAGTATCAAACAGGTTTGCGAAAAATAATCACAGCTAACTTAAAGGATAACATAACATAAATGCATTCGAATATATAGGAATGAAATTAGTCCAATGAACTGAAACCAGCAAGGTAGCATAAAATATAAAAGAATTCCTGAATAAATTTTGGCAAAAATCAACATCAGTTATTGAAAAACAGGAAGAGTCAAAAAGTAGGAGGAAACAGATAATTTTTAACGATTCCCTATGTGGAGTAAGTTCATGACGAAATCCATATTGAAATCTACCGAACCATTACAAACCCAACATCTGGAGATTATTGAATTAATTCGAAGTAAAATCAAAATACTATTATGAAAAAGGTGAAAAACTGATCAAAGTCCATTTATATATATATATATATATAATTCCAGTATGCGAAGTTTTTGGTTTTCTGTGCATTTATCACTATAAAGCATTCATAGACGTGCATAAAAAGTTCATGTCCACAAAATGTCTAGTTATAGTAGTAGTAATAATAACTTTATTTCATTGTTCGAATGCTTGCTTTACGTCAAATACTCACCTCCCTCAACATGCTCATGAAGCTGAATGAGAACTTCCAGTGGACCTGTTATAGAAAGAGTTCACCGATTCTCACACACAGTTAGAAGTGTTACCAAGATAATTATTTAGCCTCTCTCTCTCTGACATGCACTGTATACTGTGGGAACCAGTGAGTCCATGCTGAGTTGTATTAACTAGTACTACGGCTTGCACTGTACGAAAATCACCAAGTGTCAACTTTTCTGACTCACGGTTGCAAGCATTCAGCGACTTGACAGAACCATCTTTGTATTTTTACCAACCTCATTCTACATCATCTCACGTTACACATTGCGGCACAAAGTGGTTATACATTTCCATACAGAAAAAAATGTCACTGTTAGAAGAGAAACTACTACTGATTACTTTACGAAATTTATTTCGACTTGACTGATATAAGATTTTTTTAATATAGATAAGAGTGAAAACTATACTACCTACATAGAAAAACACCAATGTTTACAATCCAGATTTTATAAAAGTTCGGATTATAAATTATGCTAACCTTGGTAAGTTCCATCACTCGTGTCACCAAAGCACCAATATCCAATTACTAGAACCGCGACAGAAGCGAGAAACACTGGCAACCTCAAAACGCCAGCGAACGATGTACACCATAACAATAAAATCACCCAGAACAAATGCGATATCGTGTGTACAAAGTAGAAACTGCACGGTTGTATTAAAGCCGTTATAGCATGTGCGACACCTAAAGCGGCAACCTACAAATTAAGAAAACGATATGTTACCTACCAGCTTAAACGACGTCAGACCCAATACATAGTCAGTAAGTGAGATGCAAAGATACGCTGCATTTGAAAACAAACCGGGTAGCCAGAAAAAGTCGAAGAAAGAACATACATGAAAAGTTAGAAGAAGAAACAATGAAGACTTCAATAGACTCGAGTAGTCAGACGCTTTATGGAGCAAAATGGAAGATAGTGCATTAAGGATTCGAAAAGGTACGACAATAGTTTCCACCAAAAGTAACTGGTCTTCAGCGTCCACACGTCTTATCCAACCGCGAATAATATCAGTTAGAGAACTCTTAAACGGATACAACACTGTCCCACACAAAAATGCCCATATTAGCGGCATGAAGAAAATCTGTAGGGTGTAGTACACAGACAAGGCAGCTCCAAAAATAAGAGATAGAACCCCGAAAGCAAAAGCATTGTAAGACGCTTGTCTACAGGCCTTTATTTGGGCATGTGATAGACGAATATATTGATCGAAGCGAAAAGGGACAGAAGAGAAATGCTCCATATAAATAATATGGTTTTCTTCCAGAACTGAAAGTTATGCGTGGAAATCCAATGACTCAAAACAGCTGGGAATGGGACTCATTCAAAAAATCGCTGAAGTTTCTAGGTCGTTTTCATTGGAGGCAATTTGAACTACAAAACCAAGGATGTAACCCAAACTTTAGCTAAGTCAAATTTGTTTACAAGTTGCTACAACACATATGACTTCAGTGAATCCATAAAGTCGGTTACTTCCTGAAAAAAGCATATTAGTCACAGCGGAAGGATAACTCTGCAGACATCTTGTTGAAAATGACATTCATTCGGCTGAAATTATCCCGCATGCTCAAGGTCACTGATGGAGTGAGACGCTCAAAGGTCATTTTCGTCCATGTTAGTCGGTTATGTTGGATTGCAGTTCCATAGCCGTTCGTTTACACATTGGTTTTATGTTCTGTTGGCATTTATAGGTGATTCCCATGTACTGATAGCATTCTTTTGTAAAATAGTTCTGTTCTTCACACGAAAATAGCCACATTTTGACGTAGTCTTCATTGAATGACACTATGTCGAAAGCTGCAGCTTCTATAAGAAATAAACTATTTGCGTAGATGACATTACCCACCAACTACCCCATCTTCTTCATTGTAGAGATGTTTTGACGCATTCAGCATGAAACACTAATCATTACAACCAATATGCTAAGTGTGTCGCAGACAGATTAAATGACGCAGACACCAACATAACTAGCCAGGAAATGAGAATTCCTTTCAATCCAGAAAATATAGAACAAAATTTTATTAAAAACTATTGACAAAACAAATTTGCCGAGCGAAATTTCAACCAACATGCCGGATAAGTCCAGCCCATTCATTCCTGTCAGAACATTGCATTTTTTCTTCGTTCATAGCAAATATTTGTTTCTATCATCGTTACAATTTCCAGAAAATACAGCGTTTTCGCACAGGATATAAAATACACATGCGTTCACTCACACACCGTATTCTCTTTCCCCATGACTATCGGGCCACCATAACAATTATGGGTTTCGTCTTTTGGAAATTTACAGGAAATCCACTTCCTCGTTTACTAGCGAAATCAACGAACGGATTGTCAAACCCCAGCAGAGAAGAATTATCGAAATACAGAGCCCGTGGATCTGTGAAGTGTGTTACTAAGTCTGTTGCTAGTGAACTAGAATGTACCCTAAAGTAATTATACACTTTGACATTTAAACATCTTTGAAAACTCAAATGGTTGTCTGAGTAACTTTCATAACTTTGGTCTACAGTGACATTTCTTATCCCAATCGAGTAGCTGAAAGGGTCCACCGCTAACCTCACGGCGGATTTGTTACGATGCTGGCTGGAGTATTCATGTCATAAATATGCTATGTCGTAGTATGTTCTCCAGAAATTAAATAAGACGGTCACTGTTGCAGTCACTGAAAAGTTATATTACAACGAAGATTCGGGCTTATAACCTTCTAATGAAAGTGAAATCTAACGACTAATCCTTCTAAAATACAGTTTCATCAAAGGCGTTGCAGGCTCGGGAAATAAATCTCACCCAGCAAATCCATTCAGTAATTAAGTCGCAAGCCTGCTAGTGGGGGCACCCACAAAAGGAGTGCGACGGCTGAACCAAGCCGCCCTTGGTTAACAGTGAGGAAGATTCATACAAATAATAAATAACAGTCCAAGGTGAACAACAAAATTATCTTATTTACATAAAAATTAAAAATACTACATAGAGTATAGGCTTAATATTTAACACTCCCCATAAAAAGAATTTCAATTTCTTTTCCTAATTAAATTAGGACTGACTAGGCTCAAAACTTCGCCAGTCGAAAGCTGCAAACAGTACAATAATAAACATACAGTAAATAGACTGTTGTCTAAACAACACGGCGAAGCAGTAAGGGAAATTAGAAGGAGTACTTATTATTCCCTTGGGTTCTGAGTGCAACAGAGGGCCTCAACAACAAACCTCAACTTTCTTCTATTTTCTGCCATCTTCTTCAGCTGGGTCCATGACTGAACAAACTCTCTCATCTATTCCTCACACGACCTCCTCCATGCCACCCTAGAACAGCCCACTCGTCGCTTCTCATTGAGATTCAACTCGAGCGATGGCCTGCATAACGCGCGATGTCACTCGATGGTCTCCTCAATGTATGCTCAATCCATCTCCATTTGCTCTTACATATGTTTTGAGTGATAGACTCTTTGTTAGCTTGTTCCCACGGTTTCTTGTAACTTATTCTTTCTGGCCACTTGATCTTCAGTATAAAGCCAAAGAATGTGGCAGCTAATGATAAAAGTCTGCAATCTGTTGGAAATCCTTTCCGTCACACGCTGTCCAAGTTCCTGACCTGTGCAGAAGGACAGACTCTACATTTGTGTTAAAAATGCGAATCCTGTTCCCAATGCTGAGTGTAAAAGATTTTCAAACTGGTTTCGGGTCGATGAAAGCGTGTCTTGCCTTGCCGATTTTGGCCTGCTTTGAAATCTTCATCCGATCTACCTTTAGTTGAAACGGTGCTTCCTAGATAAATGAAGGAGGTAACCCCTGTCAAATCTCTCTTATTGATGGTAATTGGTGCTGGTTACTGTTGCGGTACGTTGGTTATCTTCATTACTTCCTTCTTCCCTATGTCCATCTGCAGTCCTGGCTTTGCTGCCAGCTCCTTCAGCCAGTTTGTTGGTTTCCGCCTGTAAGTCTTTAAGATTGTGTGACACTTGATATACATCGTCTGCGAAATCCAAACCTTCTAGAGTCTTCTGATTGGTGGTCTAGTGTATTCCTGTCTTCTCACTCCCCGTGCACCGTCTGTCGCATGATCCAGTCCAGTGCAACTAAGAACATCATTGTAGATAGTGGACAGATTTGTCTTACTTCTATAGGCACTTCAAAAGCCTAGCTTGGTTTCCCGTTGTGGATCACCTGACACGCGGCATTATCATCTAGCAACCTGTTGAATAAGGTTGATACAGATTTGAAGAACTACACGCCGTGGTGTTGAAGTAGTTTCTAATTTACTTCTTGGTCAACGATGCGTTGTCGAAGGCCTCTTCGAAGTCTATGAAGTTAGGATACAGATTTGAATTCCATTCTATGCGCTGTTCTGTGATGGCGATGCGCAGAGTAGCAATTTACCGTTCCTTAGTGCAGCTTGTTCTGGTCGATGGGGCGGAGTTCTGTATCCAGTGCATTCTTTATTCTCTCCAGGATTACTTTGACGTGGACAAGAGCATTATTCCACGCCATTTCTGGCAGATGACATTTTTGCAGGTTGACAAGATAGCCTTTTTTCCTTCCTTCTTCCCAAACCTTTTGCAATAATGGCGTGAGAATATCTGCCGCAGTCTCTGGGTCAGTTTTCATTGCTTCCTGCTGCCTTCTAAGCTGGTCTTCTGTAGCTTGATCGCATTCGAGATTTCCACTTTCGTTGAAGGATCGGTGTCCACTGGTAGTCAGTTCTTTACCTGCCGCTGGTGGTGTTATTTTTGGATGAGTTGCAGATGATGAACGACTCAAGAGCCCTTCGAAGTGATCAACCTATTTTTTATTTGTCTTTTATAGTTTTCACTTGCGTTGATCTCTTCCAGGACAGCAAGCAACCTGGTTATCTGATGTACATGCTGGGGCCCCTGTTACCTACGGCCAGTTCTGCTTCACTCACCAGTGTGTCGTAGAATTGTCTTCTGGCTTTCCTGGCACTCTTCTTCACTACTTTCTTCATTCACTGCAGTGTACACTGAACTCAGCTTCTTCAATTGCCTATCTTTGCATTGAGTCATCTCCTGTCTCACTGTCATCCTCTCTTGTATAAGCTTCTAGATAGGTGTCCATTGAGAGCCATTCCTTATCTCGTCTCTTCTTCTTCCTTGAACAGTTATACACGTTGTCTTGAGTATCGACATCAGAGATATCCAGTCGTCTTCAACGCAGTTTTCCTCGGTGATACCATGTAGTGTGTCCCACTTTGCTCTGATCTGATCTGTAGCGAAGGCATGCATGTAGTTTTGTCCTTCAGTTTCTGAATGCTGAACCTGAGTAGTGCTCTGTCTCTAGTTGTTTTCAAGGATTTCAGCTTCACTTTGAAGGTTCCCTGAACTCGACTTTGTATCCAGCAGGCTGAGTCTCCACTTCCTTGAGCGGCATTCAGATGAAATCGATCTAGTCTGTGGCGTTTCCGTCAGGCGAAATCCATGTTACTTTGTGTATATCCTTGTGGTCGCACACGCTGCCTCCGAAATTGAAAAGTTGGAAAAAAATCTAGAAAACTTATAGGAAGTTTGATGTTTACTTTAATGTAACAAGTTATAATATATTGGTTATAAGATATTAACCGTAAATATACCTGTAGTCAGTCAACTTCGCGCGGGAATTACAAAGGGTTTCGTTAATAGAAGGTAATGTAATGAGATAGTGTCGCTAAACAAGTTTTCTTCCTCTTCTCTTTGAGGAAGAAGCGCTGACGTAACTATACTGGGACAAGAAGAGGACTGTTTGGCTGGGCTTGTTATAAACGATGACAATTACCTCTGTGCCCGCTTAGTTCAAGGTTTGCTTAATTGAAATACGAGTGAGGATAAACGTTATCGTGATATATTTTCGTGCACTGTATGGGTTATCACGCTCATGCCCATAGAGGCGTTATAGCGGTTCACTTTTGTGAAAATAGATTATATTTGACTATTGTTAGGCTTCTGTAGCTGAAAAAAGGAATATTTTCCTGTATTGTGTTCGTATTATTGGGTAAAATTGTCTTGATATCCAAGGCGATTTATCATAAAAAATCAGTCATCATTTATAAGATATTTGGCATAGAAAGACTATTATTTGCGTTTCAGAGCCTTAAAGCTTTGTTATTTGCGAGTTGTTTTAGATCTTCAGGTTGTAAATTGACTACAGCATGGTTGTTCTCATAGCAGTTATTCTATGCGAATCGGGCATTTGAATGATATATAGCCCACCTACATAAGTTAGATGTACGTTTTGAGGATACTAAACACTTCTACTATCATCTGTGATGATTGAAATATTCCATAACACATCGAAGAGTTCATGTGATGAATGAAACAAGCTGCTGAATATCCTGGTGTTTATATCCA